TGCCAGTTTGGGGAAGGCCCTTTCCTGTTTCAGCATGACAATGCCCCTGTGCACAAAGCGAGAGGTCCATACAGAAACGCTTTGTCGAGATTCGGTGTGGAAGAACTTGACTGGCCTGCACATCCTCAACCCCATTCAACACCTTTGGGATGAATTGGAACGCAGACTTTGAGCCAGGCCTAATTGCCCAACATCACTGCCTGACCTCACTAATGCTGTTGTGGCTGAATGGAAGCAAGTCCCCACAGCAATGTTCCAACATCTAGTGGAAAGCCTTCCCAGAAGAGTGGAGGCTGTTATAGCAACAAAGGGGGGGACCAACTCCATATTAATGGCCATGATTTTGGAATGAGATGTTCGACGAGCAGGTGTCCACATACATTTGACCATGTAGTGTATGTATAACATCCAACATTATGAACAGTGTGTGAAAAGTGATTGTATGTTGGGAAGATATATTTAAGTGATTTTATCAGCAGTTGATATTTAGCCTGCAGTAGGCCTACTGGACGCAATCCACTGAGATGATTTACTATTTCATGCTTCATGCATCATGACAGAAAGAGGAACTAGAGTGAAAAACCTCTCCCTTTAAATACCTTGTTAGACCAGTCAGACAGCCGTGGGAGGTTGGTTTAGCTCTGTGCATTAGCATACAGACAGGCAACGCCCTGAGTCCAATGACTTGACATACACACTCATTATCAGTAATGTTAGACACAACCTATATGTTGGTAAGGCAACTGAAATCTAAAGAATATGAAGAAATAAAATATCACAACATTTAAAAAAATGCAGTCTGGTGCAATTTACATTTTAGAAGCTTGCGCATATGAATAAAAACAAAATCAGCCTACTCAGTGAACAGTTAAAAGAGTATAGCCCAAATCTCCATGTAATGTCAACATGCAGGTGAAACCAAGCTCAGTGCCCCAGGCCAAACAATGTTTTGTTGAGGGTTTAAGGCCTGCTTTGGCAATGCAATTGTTGTGGCACAGGCAAACCTGCCTGATTGCTGTTTATATGTTGTGTCAACAATTGTAAATGCAGGTGATTGCATTTCTGGGTCTGGCTTGGAGAGAGTCTGTGTTCAATTACCTGCCGTTCAGACAGGGGCCCTCTAGGATTTCTGTCTGAGACTATTCTAGAAAATGGCTACGATGGACCTCAACATGTAGATAGGCTACATTTTGTCATATAAACATTTCTACATAATATTGATCCTAGAACATAAAAAGTTCACATAACATCACATGGCAAATATATTAATAATTGATATGTAAATAAAAAACTAAAACAATATAATATGCATTCAGAGCAATATCTCCAGTAGGCCTGTATCCCTAAGACTTTTGGTAATTTCACCCCATCATGATGAAAGCCTTTGTTGTCCAGAACTGATGTCCAGACCAGTCCTGATTAATGTCCTTAATTGTCTGTAGTCCCATTCCGTGAAGCGTACAGTGTTGAAGGTAGTCTTGGGATCAGAAAGTCCTACGGAGAATCTTGAAATACAAATGAGAAAAGACCAAATCAATAGACTGAAAACGTTTCATCCTGAATGCAGATACAATTTATAAATGTTCCAGATTATCATTTTACTTTACATTTTACAATTAGGCAATGCAGTCCCCTAATACAGGGTTTCCCAAACTCGGTCTTGCACCCTGGGGCCCCAGGACCGAGTTTGGGAACCCCTGCCCTAATGTGAGTTACCTATGGTGAAACTAATACTGGTTACCTAGGCCTACCTGTTTTGTAATGTTCTTAGAGCAAAACAGCTGAATGAGGTTAGTATGTTCATCAGAGAGGACTTATTTTTCATTAGTGAAAATTAAATATTGTTTATTTTCCTGAAATTATGCACAATTTATTAGAATACTATATCTTATCCCAAAACGTACAATCAGAACAGTCTTTTAACATTACCCCTAGCGATGGTCTGTACATCCAAGTTCGGTATATCTGGTATATTTTTTTCCTTCTCCATCGAAAAGGAGTCCAAGCTGGAGTCATAGCCGCCGTTCTGATAACCGAAAGATTTCCCCCAGGTTATTCGAGAGGCGACGTGAACAGGTGTAGGCGTCCCAGCTTTAACCTTGTTTTCCTCGTCATACTTTGTGATTACATCTTCAGGTGTGCATTTTTTGGAAAGCCTCTCTGACAACTTTCTGGCCAACTGTACAAAACTCTGTTTCTTTTTCAGTAAACTTGTTCCAAAGCTGTCTTCTGAGACCTGTATATTGCCCACGTACCACATAATCCACCAAGCCAAACTTATGAAAAGGATAATTGAACCACTGTAAATCAAGAAATCGCCATAAAACCTGCCATCGATACGCAAATTGGCAAAAATTCCAATGAACAGGATAATGAAACCAATAACATCAAAAGCAATAGCCAGAAAAAATAACGGCACACACCCGCCTATGCATCTAAGGTCCATCATTGTGTCGATACACCCTGAAAATAACGGAAGGTGCGTCTATTCTGTTCCTTCTGTTCTTCTCGCACCCAGAGGGCACACCTGTTGTGAGAACCGCCCCAACGTGACGTGTTCAGAGCGAAAGGTAGACAGTACACCATTTATTTTCTTCTTCTTTAAAAAAAACGTCATTTGTCACGATAACAGACTATAATTTAATTTATCAACAAACACATTTTAGACCTATAAAATAGACAAACAAAAAGAGCTATACTTTCTAATGATGCACTTATTTTACAGTAGCCTATTCACCAGGAGTGGTTGTCTCGCATAGGGTGTTGTTGCTTGATGCAAATGATGCAGCTTGTGTGCAGGCCAACTCAGGTCTTTCGACGTAATGTAATTTGCCAGTCAAATTAGTATTCACCTATAAGTGAAAATGAAGAAGGGAATGTCGTGGAAATAATAGTCTTACTACCCTATACATCAGCTAAACTGACCATGTTGATATAATTTGCCATATTTAGAGAAACCTTGTCAGTCACATAGGGCATCCTGAACAGAAACAGAAACATAATTATTCTAATAGTATTTTATAGTCACTCTAAAATTGAGGTTTTGTGTGAAATCAAAGTTTCAGTCCAGTCACCGAGAAGGACATTCAAATGCTATGAAAAGTGTGATGTTCTTCACTTACACTTGGCACTACAAACTTTCAATTTGTTGGGTCAGTCAAGTGTCACACTGCCCTTCACAGAGATTACATCTAACACACACACACACACACACACACACACACACACACACACACACACACACACACACACACACATACACACACCCATCCATGTCACTGGAAGTCTGTAATGGCTGTGAATGTGATGAATATAGGCTACAACTGAAAAGAAAATGCATCCATCACCAAATAAGCACTTATGTTATTTATTTAATTATTCATGAATCAGTAGCCTACCACAAAGGCATTCTGTCAATACTCAATCCTGCTCTCATCAATATGCATGCACACATCTTTCTTCTCAATATGCTTGTTGTCACTCATTCTAATAATTGTGCATAAAGGCAGTGGACTATATTTATAATTGTGTTATTTGGCAGCATGGTAACTTTCTAGTGCCTTCAAATGCTTAAGATCAAATGTCAAAGAACCACCTGTAACTTGGTTATAATGTATACTTTGTCATGCAGATATTAAAATACTGTATGTATACATCCGTAGTGGTGGAAGAAAATAGAACGAATCATGTCCCCCTACAAGTTAATTGTCTTTAGAGCAAACATTCATCGTGTGAAAGTGTAGCCATGCTCAGCAGAGAAGTATCCAATCCTCCATTGTGCTTTTGGGAAACTAAATGGTCTGATAATCAGACTTTGAGCCTGAGGACTATCCAGGACCACAGCATACAAGACAGGAATGCCGCGCCCGGCCCACCTCATAATTTAAAGACCGGTTGCCTGTAGTAACTGAAGGGCTTCTTCATGGTGGGCTGCTTCCTGTTCTCCTTAGTGATGGGGATCAGCACCACGCCCACCACCAGCACCATCAGGCCAATGGACACCAGGGCCGGGCCCAGGATGTTGGTGGCCTTCCTGCAGTAGCCAGCGAAATACAGGCCACTCAAGATGAAGCCGCAGGCAAAGATGCTGCCCCCGGTGGACATGAGGTGGAATGGGAACCAGTAGATCTCACATGTGCTGCGGGCCGACTCATTGGTCCAGAGGGACTCGCTGCGGGACAGGCTGAACACGGTGCTTTCTGTCTGGGGAGTGAGCTGCTCCTGGGACTGGGAGTGAAGGGTGCGCTCCCCAAGGGGGATGCTCTCTGGTAGTCCAGGCATAGCCTTTAGCCTTACCCCTCCTCACCTGGGAGTCAGATATGTGGAGGAAGGTGGAAAAAAGAAGGTTCAACAATGACCCATACATCCCTATCTCTTTCAGACTATTTTCACCTGAATTTAGGTTTGATTGAGTGGAAATAATTATTACATAAAGGATATGGGATCCAGGTTGGAATAGCTTCTACTCCAGAGAATAAAATGTATACCGGTGTCATATTTTAGAAGTCATGTAACTGTCTGCATTTCAAGTTACATTCCTTGTTGTTTCAAATAAAAGGAATGTAAAAAAATTGAATAAAAATGTGAACGCCACTATTGCGTTACAATGATTTCCATTAAGAGGAAATTGCTTCTTGTGCTTCTTGA